CGCCCCATTCTCCGCTTTCCATCACCCCGCCCCCATTCTCCCTCTTTCCATCACCCCGCCCCATTCTCCCGCTTTCCATCACCCCGCCCATTCTCCCGCTTTCCATCACCCCGCCCCATTCTCCCGCTTTCCATCACCCCGCCCCATACTCCCTCCTTCCATCACCCCGCCCCATTCTCCCGCTTTCCATCACCCCGCCCCATTCTCCCTCCTTCCATCACCCCGCCCCATTCTCCCGCTTTTCCATCACCGCGCCCCCGTTCTCCCGCTTTCCATCACCCCGCCCCATTCTCCCGCTTCCATCACCCAGCCCCGTTCTCCCGCTTTCCATCACCCCGCCCCATTCTCCCGCTTTCCATCACCCCGCCCCATCTCCCGCTTTCCATCACCCCGCCCCATTCTCCCGCTTTCCATCACCCCGCCCCATTCTCCCGCTTTCCATCACCCCGCCCCATTCTCCCGCTCTCATCACCCCGCCCATCTCCCGCTTTCATCACCCCGCCCCCATCTCCCGCTTTTCCATCACCCCGCCCCATTCTACCGCTTTCCATCACCCCGCCCCATTCTCCGCTCTCCATCACCCGCCCCATTCTCCCGCTTTCCATCACCCCGCCCCATTCTCCCGCTTTCCATCACCCGGCCCCATTCTCCCGCTTTCCATCACCCCGCCCCCATTCTCCCGCTTTCCATCACCCCGCCCCATTCTCCCGCTTTCCATCACCCCGCCCATTCTCCCGCTTTCCATCACCCTTCCCCATTCTCCCGGCTTTCCATCACCCCGCCCCATTCTCCCGCTTTTCATCACCCCGCCCCATTCTCCCGCTTTCCATCACCCCGCCCCATTCTCCCGCTTTCCATCACCCCGCCCCATTCTCCCGCTTTCCATCACCCCGCCCCATTCTCCCGCTTTCCATCACCCCGCCCCATTCTCCCTCTTTCCATCACCCCGCCCCATTCTCCCGCTTTCTATCACCCCGCCCCATTCTCCCGCTTTCCATCACCCCGCCCCATTCTCCCGCTTTCCATCACCCTGCCCCATTCTCCCGCTTTCCATCTCCCCGCTTCTCCCTCCTTCCATCACCCCGCCCCATTCCTCCCGCTTTCCATCACCCCGCCCCCATTCTCCCGCTTTCCATCACCCCGCCCCATTCTCCCTCTTTCCATCACCCCGCCCCATTCTCCCGCTTTCCATCACCCCGCCCCATTCTCCCGCTTTCCATCACCCCGCCCCATTCTCCCGCTTTTCATCACCCCGCCCCATTCTCCCGCTTTCCATCACCCCGCCCCATTCTCCCGCTTTCCATCACCCCGCCCCATTCTCCCGCTTTCCATCACCCCGCCCCATACTCCCTCCTTCCATCACCCCGCCCCATTCTCCTTTCTTTTATCACCCCGCCCCATTCTCCCGCTTTCCATCACCCCGCCCCATTCTCCCGCTTTCCATCACCCCGCCCCATTCTCCCGCTTTCCATCACCCCGCCCCATTCTCCCGCTTTCCATCAGCCCGCCCCATTCTCCCGCTTTCCATCACCCCGCCCCATTCTCCCGCTTTCCATCACCCCGCCCCATTCTCCCGCTTTCCATCACCCCGCCCCATTCTCCCGCTTTCCATCACCCCGCCCCATTCTCCCGCTTTTCATCACCCCGCCCCCATTCTCCCGCTTTCCATCACCCCGCCCCATTCTCCCGCTTTCCATCACCCCGCCCCATTCTCCCGCTTTCCATCACCCCGCCCCATACTCCCTCCTTCCATCACCCCGCCCCCATTCTCCCTCCTTCCATCACCCCGCCCCCATTCTCCCTCCTTCCATCACCCCGCCCCATTCTCCCGCTTTCCATCACCCCGCCCCATTCTCCCGCTTTCCATCACCCCGCCCCATTCTCCCGCTTTCCATCACCCCGCCTCATTCTCCCGCTTTCCATCACCCCGCCCCATTCTCCCTCCTTCCATCACCCCGCCCCATTCTCCTTTCTTTTATCACCCCGCCCCATTCTCCCGCTTTCCATCACCCCGCCCCATTCTTCCGCTTTCCATCACCCCGCCCCATACTCCCTCTTTCCATCACCCCGCCCCATTATCCCGCTTTCCATCACCCCGCCCCATTCTCCCGCCTTCCATCACCCCGCCCCATTCTCCCGCTTTCCATCACCCCGCCCCATTCTCGCGCTTTCCATCACCCCGCCCCATTCTCCCGCTTTCCATCACCCCGCCCCATTCTCCCGCTTTCCATCACCCCGCCCCATTCTCCCGCTTTCCATCACCCCGCCCCATTCTCCCGCTTTCCATCACCCCGCCCCATTCTCCCGCTTTCCATCACCCCGCCCCATTCTCCCGCTTTCCATCACCCCGCCCCATTCTCCCGCTTTCCATCACCCCGCCCCATTCTCCCGCTTTTCATCACCCCACCCCATTCTCCCGCTTTCCATCACCCCGCCCCATTCTCCCTCCTTCCATCACCCCGCCCCATTCTCCCTCCTTCCATCACCCCGCCCCATTCTCCCTCCTTCCATCACCCCGCCCCATTCTCCCGCTTTCCATCACCCCGCCCCATTCTCCCGCTTTCCATCACCTCGCCCCATTCTCCCGCTTTCCATCACCCCGCCCCATTCTCCCGCTTTCCATCACCCCGCCACATTCTCCCGCTTTCCATCACCCCGCCACATTCTCCCGCTTTCCATCACCCCGCCCCATACTCCCGCTTTCCATCACCCCGCCCCATACTCCCTCCTTCCATCACCCCGCCCCATTCTCCCGCTTTCCATCACCCCGCCCCAGTTCTCCCCCTTTCCATCACCCCGCCCCATTCTCCCCCTTTCCATCACCCCGCCCCATTCTCCCGCTTTCCATCACCCCGCCCCATTCTCCCGCTTTCCATCACCCCGCCCCGTTCTCCCGCTTCCCATCACCCCGCCCCGTTCTCCCGCTTTCCATCACCCCGCCCCATTCTCCCGCTTTCCATCACCCCGCCCCATTCTCCCGCTTTCCATCACCCCGCCCCATTCTCCCGCTTTCCATCACCCCGCCCCATTCTCCCGCTTTCCATCACCCCGCCCCATTCTCCCGCTTTCCATCACCCCGCCCCATTCTCCCGCTTTCCATCACCCCGCCCCATTCTCCCGCTTTCCATCACCCTGCCCCATTCTCCCGCTTTCCATCACCCCGCTCCATTCTCCCTCCTTCCATCACCCCGCCCCATCCTCCTGCTTTCCATCACCCCGCCCCATTCTCCCGCTTTCCATCACCCCGCCCCATTCTCCCTCTTTCCATCACCCCGCCCCCATTCTCCCGCTTTCCATCACCCCGCCCCATTCTCCCGCTTTCCATCACCCCGCCCCATTCTCCCGCTTTCCATCACCCCGCCCCATCCTCCCTCCTTCCATCACCCCGCCCCATTCTCCCGCTTTCCATCACCCCGCCCCATTCTCCCTCTTTCCATCACCCCGCCCCATTCTCCCTCCTTCCATCACCCCGCTCCATTCTCCCTCATTCCATCACCCCGCTCCATTCTCCCTCTTTCCATCACCCCTCCCCATTCTCCCGCTTTCCATCACCCCGCCCCATTCTCCATCTTTCCATCACCCCGCCCCATTCTCCCTCTTTCCATCACCCCGCCCCATTCTCCCGCTTTCCATCACCCCGCCCCATTCTCCCTCTTTCCACCACCCCGCCCCACTCTCCCGCTTTCCATCACCCCGCCCCATTCTCCCGCTTTCCATCACCCCGCCCCATTCTCCCGCTTTCCATCATCCTGCCCCATTCTCCCGCTTTCCATCACCCCGCCCCATTCTCCCGGTTTCCAGCAACCCGCCCCATTCTCCTGCTTTCCATCACCCCCGCCCCATTCTCCCGCTTTCCATCACCCCGCCCCATTCTCCCGCTTTCCATCACCCCGCCCCATTCTCCCGCTTTCCATCACCCCGCCCCATTCTCCCGCTTTCCATCACCCCGCCCCATTCTCCCTCCTTCCATCACCCTGCCCCATTCTCCCTCCTTCCATCACCCTGCCCCATTCTCCCGCTTCCATCACCCCGCCCCATTCTCCCGCTTTCCATCACCCCGCCCCATTCTCCCGCTTTCCATCACCCCGCCCCATTCTCCCGCTTTCCATCACCCCGCCCCATTCTCCCGCTTTCCATCACCCCGCCCCATTCTCGCGCTTTCCATCACCCCGCCCCATTCTCCCTCTTTCCATCACCCCGCCCCATTCTCCCTCTTTCCATCACCCCGCCCCATTCTCCCGCTTTCCATCACCCCGCCCCATTCTCGCGCTTTCCATCACCCCGCCCCATTCTCCCGCTTTCCATCACCCCGCCCCATTCTCCCGCTTTCCATCATCCTGCCCCATTCTCCCTCTTTCCATCACCCCGCCCCATTCTCCCGGTTTCAATCACCCCGCCCCATTCTCCCGCTTTCCATCACCCCGCCCCATTCTCCCGCTTTCCATCACCCCGCCCCGTTCTCCCGCTTTCCATCACCCCGCCCCGTTCTCCCGCTTCCCATCACCCCGCCCCGTTCTCCCTCTTTCCATCACCCCGCCCCATTCTCCCGCTTTCCATCACCCCGCCCCATTCTCCCGCTTTCCATCACCCCGCCTCATTCTCCCGCTTTCCATCACCCCGCCCCATTCTCCCGCTTTCCGTCACCCCGCCTCATTCTCCCGCTTTCCATCACCCCGCCCCATTCTTCCGCATTCCATCACCCCGCCCCATTCTCTCGCCTTCCATCACCCCGCTTCTCCCGCGTTCCAACACTCTGCCCCATTCTCCCGCCTCCCATCACTCCGCCCCATCCCCCCTCCTTCCATCACCCCGCCCCATTCTCCCGCTTCCATCACCCCGCCCCATTCTCCCGCTTTCCATCACCCCGCCCCATTCTCCCGCTTTCCATCACCCCGCCCCATTCTCCCGCTTTCCATCACCCCGCCCCATTCTCCCGCTTTCCATCACCCTGCCCCATTCTCCCGCTTTCCATCACCCCGCCCCATTCTCCCGCTTTCCAGCAACCCGCCCCATTCTCCCGCTTTCCATCACACCGCCCCATTCTCCCGCTTTCCATCACCCCGCCCCATTCTCCCGCTTTCCATCACCCCGCCCCATTCTCCCGCTTTCCATCACCCCGCCCCATTCTCCCGCTTTCCATCACTCCGCCCCATTCTCCCGCTTTCCATCACCCCGCCCCATTCTCCCGCTTTCCATCACCCCGCCCCATTCTCCCGCTTTCCATCACCCCGCCCCATTCTCCCGCTTTCCATCACCCCGCCCCATCCTCCCTCCTTCCATCACCCCGCCCCATTCTCCCGCTTTCCATCACCCCGCCCCATTCTCCCTCTTTCCATCACCCCTCCCCATTCTCCCGCTTTCCATCACCCCGCCCCATCCTCCCTCCTTCCATCACCCCGCCCCATTCTCCCGCTTTCCATCACCCCGCCACATTCTCCCTCTTTCCATCACCCCTCCCCATTCTCCCGCTTTCTATCACCCCGCCCCATTCTCCCGCTTTCCATCACCCCGCCCCATTCTCCCGCTTTCCAGCAACCCGCCCCATTCTCCCACTTTCCATCACCTCGCCCCATTCTCCCGCTTTCCATCACCCCGCCCCATTCTCCCGCTTTCCATCACCCCGCCCCATTCTCCCGCTTTCCATCACCCCGCCCCATTCTCCCGCTTTCCATCACCCCGCCCCATTCTCCCGCTTTCCATCACCCCGCCCCATTCTCCCGCTTTCCATCACCCGCCCCATTCTCCCGCTTTCCATCACCCCGCACCATTCTCCCGCTTTCCATCACCTCGCCCCATTCTCCCACTTTCCATCACCCCGTCCCATTCTACCGCTTTCCATCACCCAGCCCCATTCTCCCTCCTTCCATCACCCCGCCCCATTCTCCCTCCTTCCATCACCCCGCCCCATTCTCCCGCTTTCCATCACCCCGCCCCATTCTCCCGCTTTCCATCACCCCGCCCCATTCTCCCGTTTTCCATCACCCCGCCCCATTCTCCCGCTTTCCATCACCCCGCCCCATTCCTCCCGCTTTCCATCACCCCGCCCTATTCTCCCGCTTTCCATCACCCCGCCCCATTCTCCCGCTTTCCATCACCCCGCCCCATACTCCCTCCTTCCATCACCCCGCCCCATTCTCCCGCTTTCCATCACCCCGCCCCATTCTCCCGCTTTCCATCACCCCGCCCCATTCTCCCGCTTTCCATCACCCGGCCCCGTTCTCCCGCTTTCCATCACCCCGCCCCATTCTCCCGCTTTCCATCACCCGGCCCCATTCTCCCGCTTTCCATCACCCCGCCCCATTCTCCCGCTTTCCATCACCCCGCCCCATTCTCCCGCTTTCCATCACCCCGCCCCATTCTCCCGCTTTCCATCACCCCGCCCCATTCTCCCGCTTTCCATCACCCCGCCCCATTCTCCCGCTTTCCATCACCCCGCCCCATTCTCCCGCTTTCCATCACCCCGCCCCATTCTCCCACTTTCCATCACCCCGCTCCATTCTCCCTCCTTCCATCACCCCGCCCCATCCTCCGGCTTTCCATCACCCCGCCCCATTCTCCCGCTTTCCATCACCCCGCTCCATTCTCCCTCCTTCCATCACCCCGCCCCATCCTCCTGCTTTCCATCACCCCGCCCCATTCTCCCGCTTTCCATCACCCCGCCCCATTCTCCCGCTTTCCATCACCCCGCCCCATTCTCCCGCTTTCCATCACCCCGCCCCATTCTCCCGCTTTCCATCACCCCGCCCCATTCTCCCGCTTTCCATCACCCCGCCCCATCCTCCCTCCTTCCATCACCCCGCCCCATTCTCCCGCTTTCCATCACCCCGCCCCATTCTCCCTCTTTCCATCACCCCGCCCCATTCTCCCTCCTTCCATCACCCCGCTCCATTCTCCCTCATTCCATCACCCCGCTCCATTCTCCCTCTTTCCATCACCCCTCCCCATTCTCCCGCTTTCCATCACCCCGCCCCATTCTCCATCTTTCCATCACCCCGCCCCATTCTCCCTCTTTCCATCACCCCGCCCCATTCTCCCGCTTTCCATCATCCTGCCCCATTTTCCCTCTTTCCATCACCCCGCCCCATTCTCCCGGTTTCCAGCAACCCGCCCCATTCTCCCGCTTTCCATCACCCCGCCCCATTCTCCCGCTTTCCATCACCCCGCCCCATTCTCCCGCTTTCCATCACCCCGCTCCATTCTCCCTCTTTCCATCACCCCGCCCCATTCTCCCTCCTTCCATCACCCCGCTCCATTCTCCCTCATTCCATCACCCCGCTCCATTCTCCCTCTTTCCATCACCCCTCCCCATTCTCCCGCTTTCCATCACCCCGCCCCATTCTCCATCTTTCCATCACCCCGCCCCATTCTCCCTCTTTCCATCACCCCGCCCCATTCTCCCGCTTTCCATCACCCCGCCCCATTCTCCCTCTTTCCATCACTCCGCCCCATTCTCCCGCTTTCCATCACCCCGCCCCATTCTCCCGCTTTCCATAACCCCGCCCCATTCTCCCGCTTTCCATCATCCTGCCCCATTCTCCCTCTTTCCATCACCCCGCCCCATTCTCCCGGTTTCTAGCAACCCGCCCCATTCTCCCGCTTTCCATCACCCCGCCCCATTCTCCCGCTTTCCATCACCCCGCCCCATTCTCCCGCTTTCCATCACCCCGCCCCATTCTCCCTCTTTCCATCACCCCGCCCCATTCTCCCGCTTTCCATCACCCCGCCCCATTCTCCCTCCTTCCATCACCCTGCCCCATTCTCCCTCCTTCCATCACCCTGCCCCATTCTCCCGCTTTCCATCACCCCGCCCCATTCTCCCGCTTTCCATCACCCCGCCCCATTCTCCCGCTTTCCATCACCCCGCCCCATACTCCCGCTTTCCATCACCCCGTCCCATACTCCCTCCTTCCATCACCCCGCCCCATTCTCCCTCTTTCCATCACCCCGCCCCATTCTCCCGCTTTCCATCACCCCGCCCCATTCTCCCGCTTTCCATCACCCCGCCCCATTCTCCCGCTTTCCATCACCCGGCCCCGTTCTCCCCCTTTCCATCACCCCGCCCCATTCTCCCGCTTTCCATCACCCCGCCCCATTCTCCCGCTTTCCATCACCCCGCCCCATTCTCCCGCTTTCCATCACCCCGCCCCATTCTCCCGCTTTCCATCACCCCGCCCCATTCTCCCGCTTTCCATCACCCCGCCTTATTCTCCCGCTTTCCATCACCCCGCCTTATTCTCCCGCTTTCCATCACCCCGCCCCATTCTCCCGCTTTCCATCACCCCGCCCCATCCTCCGGCTTTCCATCACCCCGCCCCATTCTCCCGCTTTCCATCACCCCGCTCCATTCTCCCTCCTTCCATCACCCCGCCCCATCCTCCTGCTTTCCATCACCCCGCCCCATTCTCCCGCTTTCCATCACCCCGCCCCATTCTCCCGCTTTCCATCACCCCGCCCCATTCTCCCGCTTTCCATCACCCCGCCCCATTCTCCCGCTTTCCATCACCCCGCCCCATTCTCCCGCTTTCCATCACCCCGCCCCATCCTCCCTCCTTCCATCACCCCGCCCCATTCTCCCGCTTTCCATCACCCCGCCCCATTCTCCCTCTTTCCATCACCCCGCCCCATTCTCCCTCCTTCCATCACCCTGCTCCATTCTCCCTCATTCCATCACCCCGCTCCATTCTCCCTCTTTCCATCACCCCTCCCCATTCTCCCGCTTTCCATCACCCCGCCCCATTCTCCATCTTTCCATCACCCCGCCCCATTCTCCCTCTTTCCATCACCCCGCCCCATTCTCCCGCTTTCCATCACCCCGCCCCATTCTCCCGCTTTCCATCACCCCGCCCCATTCTCCCTCTTTCCATCACCCCGCCCCATTCTCCCTCTTTCCATCACCCCGCCCCATTCTCCCTCTTTCCATCACCCCGCCCCATTCTCCCGCTTTCCATCATCCTGCCCCATTTTCCCTCTTTCCATCACCCCGCCCCATTCTCCCGGTTTCCAGCAACCCGCCCCATTCTCCCGCTTTCCATCACCCCGCCCCATTCTCCCGCTTTCCATCACCCCGCCCCATTCTCCCGCTTTCCATCACCCCGCCCCATTCTCCCTCTTTCCATCACCCCGCCCCATTCTCCCTCCTTCCATCACCCCGCTCCATTCTCCCTCATTCCATCACCCCGCTCCATTCTCCCTCTTTCCATCACCCCTCCCCATTCTCCCGCTTTCCATCACCCCGCCCCATTCTCCATCTTTCCATCACCCCGCCCCATTCTCCCTCTTTCCATCACCCCGCCCCATTCTCCCGCTTTCCATCACCCCGCCCCATTCTCCCTCTTTCCATCACTCCGCCCCATTCTCCCGCTTTCCATCACCCCGCCCCATTCTCCCGCTTTCCATCACCCCGCCCCATTCTCCCGCTTTCCATCATCCTGCCCCATTCTCCCTCTTTCCATCACCCCGCCCCATTCTCCCGGTTTCCAGCAACCCGCCCCATTCTCCCACTTTCCATCACCCCGCCCCATTCTCCCGCTTTCCATCACCCCGCCCCATTCTCCCGCTTCCCATCACCCCGCCCCATTCTCCCTCTTTCCATCACCCCACCCCATTCTCCCGCTTTCCAGCACCCCGCCCCATTCTCCCGCTTTCCATCACCCCGCCCCATTCTCCCGCTTTCCATCACCCCGCCCCATTCTCCCTCCTTCCATCACCCTGCCCCATTCTCCCTCCTTCCATCACCCTGCCCCATTCTCCCGCTTCCATCACCCCGCCCCATTCTCCCGCTTTCCATCACCCCGCCCCATTCTCCCGCTTTCCATCACCCCGTCCCATTCTCCCGCTTTCCATCACCCCGCCCCATTCTCCCGCTTTCCATCACCCCGCCCCATTCTCGCGCTTTCCATCACCACGTCCCATTCTCCCTCTTTCCATCACCCCGCCCCATTCTCCCTCTTTCCATCACCCCGCCCCATTCTCCCGCTTTCCATCATCCCACCCCATTCTCGCGCTTTCCATCACCCTGCCCCATTCTCCCGCTTTCCATCACCCCGCCCCATTCTCCCGCTTTCCATCATCCTGCCCCATTCTCCCTCTTTCCATCACCCCGCCCCATTCTCCTGGTTTCCAGCACCCCGCCCCATTCTCCCGCTTTCCATCACCCCGCCCCATTCTCCCGCTTTCCATCACCCCGCCCCATTCTCCCGCTTTCCATCACCCCGCCCCATTCTCCCGCTTCCCATCACCCCGCCCCGTTCTCCCTCTTTCCATCACCCCGCCCCATTCTTCCGCATTCCATCACCCCGCCCCATTCTTCCGCTTTCCATCACCCCGCCCCATTCTCCTGCTTTCCATCACCCCGCCTCATTCTCCCACTTTCCATCACCCCGCCCCATTCTCCCGCTTTCCATCACCCCGCCCCATTCTTCCGCTTTCCATCACCCCGCCCCATTATCTCGCCTTCCATCACCCCGCCCCATTGTCCCGCGTTCCAACATTCCGCCCCATTCTCCCGCTTCCCATCACTCCGCCCCATCCCCCCTCCTTCCATCACTCCGCCCCATTCTCCCGCTTCCATCACCCCGCCCCATTCTCCCGCTTTCCATCACCCCGCCCCATTCTCCCGCTTTCCATCACCCCGCCCCATTCTCCCGCTTTCCATCACCCCGCCCCATTCTCCCGCTTTCCATCACCCCGCCCCATTCTCCCGCTTTCCATCACCCCGCCCCATTCTCCCGCTTTCCATCACCCCGCCCCATTCTCCCGCTTTCCATCACCCCGCCCCATTCTCCCGCTTTCCAGCACCCCGCCCCATTCTCCCACTTTCCATCACCCCGCCCCATTCTCCCGCTTTCCATCACCCCGCCCCATTCTCCCTCTTTCCATCACCCCGCCCCATTCTCCCTCTTTCCACCACCCTGCCCCATTCTCCCGCTTTCCATCACCCCACCCCATTCTCCCTCTTTCTATCACCCTGCCCCATTCTCCCTCTTTCCATCACCCCGCCCCATTCTCCCGCTTTCCATCACCCCGCCCCATTCTCCCGCTTTCCATCACCCCGCCCCATCCTCCCTCCTTCCATCATCCCGCCCGATGCAAGCATCATCGGTCATCGGCGCTCGCGAATGAAAAGCGCCCGCTGCACTTCCTGCACATGTGCGGATCTTTCCGCGTTTCGGGGCTGGAAGCACTCGTTCTGAGCGTTTTTCTTCTACCTGGTCACATGGCTACGCTTGTCTGGGCCTATTGCCTAGCCAGCAAGGGCGTGGGAGGGTGGAGAGCATCATTGGTCATCATCGCTCGAGAATGAAGAGCGCCCGCTGTACTTCCTGCACATGTGCGGATCCTTCCGCGTTTTGAGGCTAGAAGCGCTTGTTCTGAGCGTTTTTCTTCTACTGGGTCAAATGGCTGCGCTTGCCTGGGCCTATTGCCAAGCCAGCAAGGGCGTGGGAGGGTTGCAAGCATCTTTGGTCATCAGCGCCTCCCGAATGAAGAGCGCCCGCTGCACTTCCTGCACATGTGCGGATCCTTCCGCGTTTTGAGGCTGAAGCGTTCGTTCTGAGCGTATTTCTTCTACCGGGTTACCTGGCTGCACTTGTCTGGGCCTATTGTCAAGCCAGCAAGGGCGTGGGAGGGTCGCAAGCATCATCTCTCATCTCCCTTCTCCCTACTCTTATCCCCCTTCTCCCTACTCTCATCACCCTTCTCCCTATTCCCATCACCCTTCTCCCTACTCTCATCACCTTTCTCCCTACTCTCATCACCTTCTCCCTAATCTCATCACCCTTCTCCCTACTCTCATCATTCTTCTCTCTACTCTCATCACCCTTCTCCCTACTCTCATCAACCTTCTCCCTACTCTCATCACCCTTCTCTTTACTCTCATCACCCTTCTCCCTACTCTCATCACCCTTCTCCCTACTCTCATCAACCTTCTCTCTACTCTCATCACCCTTCTCCCTACTCTCATCACCCTTCTCCCTACTCTCATCACCCATGCGCTTCCTTTCTTTAGCATTTGTGGGCAGGCATGGCCATCATCGCGGGCGCCGAACTTTTCTGTGTGCGCGAACCAAGCTGAAGTTGCTTTGGAAGGTGTATTTGAACATGGGCCACCCGAATATGCAACAATATTCGGGTCGTTCGATGCTTTTCCTTACGCCTATAGGGATCCATGCACTTCCTTAGCATCTGTTGGCAGGCACGGCCGTCATCGCGGGCGCCGAACTTTTCAGTGCGCGCGAACCAAGCTGAAGTTACTCTGGAAGGTGTATTTGAACATGGGCCAACCGAATATGCAACAATATTCGGGTCGTTGGGTGCTTGTCTTTACGCTTATATGGATCCATGCGCTTCCTTAGCATTTGTCGGCAGGCACTGCCGTCATCGGGGCGCCGAACTTTTCTGTGCGCGCGAACCAAGCTGAAGTTGCTCTGGTAGGTGTATTTGAACATGGGCCACCTGAATATGCAACATAATCGGGTCGTTCGATGCTTTTTCCTACGCCTATAGGGATCCATGCGCTTCCTTAGCATTTGTCGGCAGGCACGGCCGTCTTCGCGGGCGCCGAACTTTTCTGTGCGCGCGAACCAAGGTGAAGTTGCTTTGGAAGGTGTGTTTGAACATGGGCCACCCGAATATGCAACAACAATCGAGCCGTTTGATGCTTTTCCCTACACCTATAGGGATCCATGCGCTTCCTTAGCATTTGTGGGCAGGCACGGCCGTCATCGCGGGCGCCGAACTTTTTTTGTGCGCGCGAACCAAGCTGAAGTTGCTCTGGAAGGTGTATTTGAACATGGGCCACCCGAATATGCAACAATATTGGGATCGTTGGATGCTTTTCTTTACGCTTATAGGGATCCATGCGCTTCCTAAGCATTTGCCGGCAGGCACGGCCGTCATCGCGGGCGCCGAACTTTTCTGTACGTGCGAACCAAGCTGAAGTTGCTCTGGAAGGTGTATTTGAACATGTGCCACATGAATATGCAACAATATTCAGGTCGTTGGATGCTTTTACTTACGTTTATAGGGATCAATGTGCTTCCTTAGCATTTGTGGGCAGGCACGGCCGTTATCACGGGCGCCGAACTTTTCTGTGCGCGCGAACCAAGCTGAATTTGCTCTGGAAGGTAAATTTGAACATGGGCCACCCGAATATGCAACAAAATTCGGGTCGTTTGATGTTTTTTTCTACGCTTATAGGGATCAATGCGCTTCCTTAGCATCTGTGGGCAGGCACGGCCGTCATCGTAGGCGCCGAACATTTCTGTGCGCGCGAATTAAGCTGAAGTTGCTGTGGAAGGTGTATTTGAATATGGGCTACCCGAATATGCAACAATATTTGGGTCGTTCGATGCTTTTCCTTACGCTTATAGGGATTCATGCGCTTCCTTAGCCTTTGTAGGCATGCACGGCCGTCATCGCGGGCGCCGAACTTTTCTGTGCGCACGAACCAGGAAGAAGTTGCTCTTGAAGGTGTATTTGAACATGGGCCACCCGAATATGCAACAAAATTCGGGTCGTTGGATGTTTTTTTCCTACGCTTATAGGGATCAATGCGCTTCCTTAGCATTTGTGGGCAGGCACGCCCGTCATCGCGCGGGCGCCGAACTTTTGTGTGCGCGCGAACCAAGCTGAAGTTGCTCTGGAAGGTGTATTTGAACATGGGCCACCCGAATATGAAACAAAATTTGGGTCGCTTGATGCTTTTCCCTACGCTTATAGGGATCAATGCGCTTCCTTAGCATTTGCCGGCAGGCACGGCCGTCATCACGGACGCCGTACTTTTCTGTGCGCGCGAACCAAGCTGAAGTTGCTCAAGAAGGTGTATTTGAACATGGGCCACCTGAATATGCAACAATATTTGGGTCGTTGAATGCTTTTTCCTACGCCTATAGGGATCCATGCACTTCCTAAGCATTTGTCGGCAGGCACGGCCGTCATCGCGGGCGCCGAACTTTCCTGTGCGTACGAACCAAGCTGAAGTTGCTCTCGAAGGTGTATTTGAACATGGGCCACACGAATATGCAACAATATTCGGGTCGTTCGATGCTTTCCTCTACGTTTATAGGGATCAATGCGTTTTCTAAGCATTTGTGGGCAGGCACGGCCGTCATCGCGGGCGTCGAACTTTTCTGTGCGCGCGTACCAAGCTGAAGTTGCTCTGGAAGGTGTATTTGAACATGGGCCACCCGAATATGCAATCATATTCGGGTCGTTCGATGCTTTTTTTTTACGCTTATAGGGATCCATGCGCTTCCTTAGCATTTGTCGACAGGCACGACCGTCATAGCGGGCGCCGAACTTTTCTGTGCGTGCGAGCCAAGCTGAAGTTGCTCTGGAAGGTGTATTTGAACATGGGCCACATGAATATGCAACAATATTCGGGTCGTTGGATGCTTTTCCCTACGCTTATAGGGATCCATGTGCTTCCTTAGCATTTGTGGGCAGGCACGGCCGTCATCGCGGGCGCCGAACTTTTCTTTGCACGCGAACCAAGCTGAAATTGCTCTGGAAGGTAAATTTGAACATGGGCCACCCGAATATGAAACAAATTTCGGGTCGTTGGATGCTTTTCCCTATGCTTATAGGGATCAATGCGCTTCCTTAGCATTTGTGGGCAGGCACGGCCGTCATCGCAGGCGCCGAACTTTTCTGTGCGGGCGAACCAAGCTGAAGTTGCTATGGAAGGTGTATTTGAACATGAACTACCCGAATATGCAACAATATTCAGGTCGTTTGATGCTTTTCTTTACGGTTATAGGGATCTATGCGCTTCCTTAGCATTTGTCGGCGGGCACGGCCGCCATCACGGACGCCGAACTTTTCTGTGCTCGCGAATCAAGCTGAAGTCGCTCTCGAAGGTGTATTTGAACATGGGCCACACAAATATGCAACAATATTCGGGTTGTTCGATGCTTTTCCTTACGCTTATAGGGATCCATGCGCTTTCTTAGCATTTGTGGGCAGGCACGGCCGTCATCGCGGGCGCCGAACTTTTCTGTGCGCGCGAACCAAGCTGAAAATGCTCTTGAAGGTGTATTTGAACATGGGCCACCCGAATATGCAACAAAATTCAGGTTGTTGGATGCTTTTCCATACGCTTATAGGGATCAATGCGCTTCCTTAGCATTTGTGGGCAGGCACGCCCGTCATCGCTGGCGCCGAACTTTTCTGTGCGCGCGAACTAAGCTGAAGTTGCTATGGAAGGTGTATTTGAACATAGGCTACCCGAATATGCAAAAATAGTCAGGTCGTTTGATGCTTTTCTTTACGGTTATAGTGATCTATGCGCTTCCTTAGCATTTGTCAGCGGGCGCGGCCGCCATCGCGGGCGCCGAACTTTTCTGTGCGCGCGAACCAGCCTGAAGTTGCTCTGATATATGTATTTGAACATGGGCCACACGGATATGCAACAATATTCGGGTTGTTCGATGCTTTTCCTTACGCTTATAGGGATCCATGGGCTTCCTCAGCATTTGTGGGCAGGCACGGCCGTCATCGCGGGCGCCGAACATTTTTTGTGCGCGCGAACCAAGCTGAAGTTGCTCTGAAGGTGTATTTGAATATGGGCCACCTGAATATGCAACAATATTTGGGTCGTTGGATGCTTTTTCCTACGCCTATAGGGATCCATGCGCTTCCTTAGCATTTGTCGGCAGGCACGGCCGTCATCGCGGGCGCCGAACTTTTCTGTGCGCGCGAACCAAGCTGAAGTTGCTCTGTAAGGTGTATTTGAACATGGGCCACCCGAATATGCAACAATATTCGGGTGTTGGATGTTTTTCCCTACGCTTATAGGGATCAATGCGCTTCCTTAGCATTTGTGGGCAGGCACGCCCGTCATCGCGGGCGCCAAACTTTTGTGTGCGCGTGAACCAAGCTGTAGTTGCTCTCATAGGTTTATTTGAACATGCGCCACTCGAATATGCAACAATATTGGGGTCGTTGAATGCTTTTCCCTACGCCTATAGGGATCCATGCGCTTCCTTAGCATTTATGGGTAGGCATGGCCGTCATCGCGGGCGTCGATTCTGTGCGCGCGAACCAAGCTGAAGTTGGTCTGATAGGTGAATTTGAACATGCACCACCCGAATATGCAACAATATTGGGGTCGTTGAATGCTTTTCTCTACGCCTATAGAGATCCATGCGCTTCCTTCGCATTTGTGGGCAGGCACGGCCGTCTTCGCGGATGC